GTAAGTCTTGGGACATTCAAGCTGCTATCATGATCCTTCTTTCACCCTATGCTCCAGGCTATGGGAAGTAAACGTTAAAAATTGCATAATAGTAGTTTGGGTTTTCCCTAGGCATCCATCAACTTCTCAGTTCTGAAAACTAAGTGATAATGTGGACATAACTATCAACATTGCTTGCAAAAGCTTAGTGTCTGAGAAAATGCTTCTTCCAGTTCTTGAAATATTTTAAAATTAAGTCCTCACTACAGTCACAGTTTCCTCTTCTCTACTATAATTTCTGTGGTCTCAGAAAATACCCTTTCATGAGCATGATTTACAAGTGTTACAGCAGCTGAGAGTCAAATGGAAAAAGTAGCACATAAAAGTTAACTCTGCAATAAAAAAAATTTTTTTGTTGGTCATGGCACCAAAAGTGTATTTTGTTAAGTAGTCTGTGGTATTGAGATACACTGAGATCTGTCAGGTAGTAACAATTATCTGCAAAATACAGGTTCTGGAAATGACAGGCTGAGTATTAAAATGAACACAGAGAACAAAGGATAACAAATAACATGTGAACAAATAAAACAGTAATGATTGAAGAGAGTTTTTAAAGAAACATCCACACAGGACAATGACAGAAGCACAAATAGTGCACATCTGTATAGGACAATGACATAAGAAATAATTCAAAGCCTTTTGAGTTACAAAATAAGATTTAAAGAATTGCTTTAAATTTTATTTTGTAACTAAAAAAGGGTTTTGAAAAAAATGCATTTTTGATAAAACTGCTTTTCTTTTTTTGAGTGGTAGTAATATTTTGGTGACAACTCTCTGCCATAAGTACATTTAAATTAAAACTTTTGAGTTTTCGATATGAAGAGTAATCTTTGCTTTTAATGTATTATCATTATTATTATAAAAAGATTATGTTGTTCTACCTTGCAATTTAAAATTAGGTTATAGTGTGTAAAATAATGCTGTGTTTATATGTTTTTAAAGGTAACACTGACACAACTGAGTGAGTCACAACAATTGTATACAAAACAGCGAAATGCCATTTTGAACAGTTGGTTACAAGATAGAAAAAAATGGCAGAATAAAGCTGTTAAGGAGGTGTGTGATGCTCATAATAAATTTCTGGTCAGAAAGGCATCAAAAGAAGCTCAGGTCTGTCAGAAAGCTGTATGTGATCAGTTGAGAATAAAGGTATAATATACTTGATTGACTTATGAGAGTATATACTACATGTATTAATTTAATATACTATTGTATTAAAATGTTGTAATGAAAATATATATCATGTTCATTTTGCATTCATGTACATACATACATGCATGCATGTATTAATTAAACCATCTTAATTTTTTTGTTGAACAAAATTTGAACAAAAATCATTTGTTGCTCTTGCCTTTTGAAAGTCATGTTATTCTAATTTTATGACCATGCTTTTGAAATTATGTATGTATTTTTTTAATTATTGACAGTCCTGATACTTATTTTTTGTATTTTCAAACTACATACTTTGTGAAGGTTATTTTAAGAATATGTAATGACAACATAGTTCCTTTTTGTTTTTGAATTTAAATTCTTAGACAAATTTAAATGCACTATCAGATATAAGCTTGACTACTGCTAAGCTTATAAAATGTATTATAAATACTTTTACAGTTAGAAAAAATGAAGGAAGAAAAGAAAATGGAAAAATTAAAAGAAGAAGAAAAAGCATCCAAGTACCAAGAAACTATGAAAAAAGCTAACAAAATGACTGCAATGAAAGAGAAACAAAGAAGAGAAATAGAGAAAGAAATGCTTAAGAGTTATTTTGAAGAAAAACTAAGAATGCAAAATGAGAACCAAGAAGATCTTTGTAGGTTACTTCAAGAGATGAAGGTTGTGAGAAAACAGCAGATGAAATATAATCGAAAGAGGTACTTCTAACAGTTCATTTGTAGATTATCAATATCCCAAAGTTTACATGTTTTAAGATTAAATTTGTTGAACCAAAATCATTGTACAGTGTCTATAAATTATCTAACCCATTTTAAAAGTTAATAACTTCAAAAATATTACATATAGAACATGGTTTTATTTATCTCAATAAACAACTCATAAAGTTTTTTTCTTTTCTTTGTATATTACTTCTACATATTTACCATTTGTTGCTCGAAGAATGTCTAGGTGATACTCTTATCTCCCTCCAGGTGTTGTTCAGTTTCTCGTTAGTTACATTCCTTGTTACATTGATTATTCTGTGGTGAAGATCCACGATATACCTGATTTTTCAGAATCCCCCACAAGAAAAAAATCCAACAGAGTTATGTCAGGAGAATGTG